CAGGCAGGTCACAAGGTCAAGCACCAGGGGCAGAGCTTGAGAGGAGTCCACACATAAAGATGTCTGGGTGTCACAGACATCTTTTGTGAAAAATCCTTTCTTTAGGATTTTTCCCTCTTCTGGGAAGCTGAGGCCTCAGAAGAAGAATGTAAATACTGGTTATCTGCTGCTGGGGAATGCAACAGGTGCACCTGTGATTGGCCCATGTTGCTTGTGTACAATTAAGGGCCAATCACAGGCCAAGCTCTCTCTGTGACAGAATCAGGGCAAGCTCCTTTGTTTATTCATTCCTTTTCTATTCTTAGCATAGCAAGCTTCTGAACTTTTCTCTCTATTCCTATTAGCACAGTCATAATGTAACATATATATCATAAAATAATAAATCCAGCCTTCTGATCACAGAGTCAAGGTTCTCACCTCTCTCTTCACCCTGCAACCCTTGCAAGCCCTGTAACATCTGGGCAGCTCAAAAGCCTGGGAAGCAGCAGAGCTGGCAGTGCTGGGACGCTGCCCCTGGATGTGCCAGTACAGAGCTGCAGCACACCAGTACTGGGGGACACTGTTCAAGAGGAAACCAGCTGCTCTCAGTGCTGGGAATTACACAATTACCAGCAGAAAAAGCATGAAGGATGTTCTCACACACCACTTGGAAGGGCTGATGAGCAGCATTTCAGGGCAGGAGCAACAACCAACACCTGCAGTTTCTGCTGCTGGCAGCAAACAGCTGCACTGTGACCATGGTCACAAGGGTTTGCAGGTGAAGAGGGAGGCCAGAATGTTGATTCTATGATCAGAAGGCTTGATTTATTATTTTATGATATATATACTACATTATAACTATACTAAAAAGAAATAGAAGGAAAAGTTCTCAGAAGGCTAAGAATAGAAAAGAATGATAACAAAGGCAGCTGGCTCAGACAGAGAGCGAGAGCCAGCTCTGCCGTGAGTGGTCAGTAAATCCAAACATCCACAGGAGACCAATCACGCATCCACCTGTTGCATTCCACAGCAGCAAATAACCATTGTTTACACTTTGTTGCTGAAACTTCTCAGCCTCAGCAGGAAAAATCCTAATGGAAGGATTTTAATGAAAAGATGTCTGCGACACTGCACAGGGACAGCTGAGAGGAAGCAGTGGCAGGATCATAAAGGGGAATTACTTATTCTTTCTTTTAGGTGGGAGATTTTATCCTAGAAACAGAAAGTAGTGGACCAGCAGAGTCTGGATGGACAGATCAGTGACAGGACAAGGTACTAAGACAGTGACTGACAGCATTGCAGAGGGTATCACCTGAACAAGTCCCATCATCTCTTTCAAAACTAAACTTGTGAGAAGTGCCAGAGTGTGGCAAAAGCTACTGCAATTCTGGAAACCAAATTACAAACCAAGGCTCCCAAAAAGTGGTGACCAGGCTGCTCTCATGGTCAAGTGACAATGGTCACTAGCCTGCCCATATCCATATCCCACAGAGGACCCAGCCCTGCTGCAGCTTGCCAAGAGCCCCACTCCTGCCCCACATCAGGCAGGAGGCAGCCACTGCCCAGATAGTCACCTCCACCTTGCATGAGCCTTCTCACTCATCCCTCCTCTCTCCTAGCGCACACCTATGTCAAAAGCCTCCAAACTTCCTTGCAAGATTATTGCCCATGGATTCATTTTCCTACCATGTTTATCTTATTTTAACTCACATTAACACACCATGGTAAACAGCCCTGCTTTTCTCAGCATACAACACTAGTCAACATCAACAATGGCCACTGGAAAAGGCCATCCCCTCTCACTGGAGCCACTCACTTGCCATCAGGTATTGCCAGCCCCCTCCCCTTTGCACCAAAGTCCCTCAGCCTGATTGCATTGGAGCAACAAAAGGTGCAGCTGCATGAACAGCAACTCCCAAGCAATCACTGCCATTTGGTTTCACCCTAGTTCAATGAAGGAATTAAGCTGAAAGTTAGGAACGGTTAAAGGATCCTTCCAGGATGTTTTTCTCTGAGAGCACTGCACTCCAACATTCACCCTGTGAGGCGGAGGTCCAAGTACATGAGGTGCCCACTGGAGTCACACTACTGATAATCCTTTCAAAATCACAACATACAACCGCTGTTTCCATCCAAAAGAAAATGACGTGAAAATTAAGGTGTTTCAGTTCTCATAGAACTGCTGCAGTACAAATTATCATCTCAGCTATTCTTCTATGAGCACCTTCAGGAATATCTTTTGCCATTGAATCCTGTAAAAAAACCACAGCTTAGGAGAAAATATATGTATTGGATCTATTTTTCTTCCAAGAAGAACAGAAAATGTCTCAATTTTGCAAGCACAGTGGTCTTATGACACTAAACATATTTTGCATGAGCTAAAGCTGTTGTGTATACCAAAATGATCAGTGTTGAAAGCTGCTGAAATTATTTCCACAGCTAGAAACTGCTTTTGCAAGGCTTAAAACTATTTCCTTCTGTATTTTTATAGATTGGGAATCAGCCATTAAGACAAATATGTTCAAAATACTAAGTGCTTTTCTGGCATTTTCATTTCTAGAGTATACAAAAATATTCTGAACATGCCAGAAGTCACATTTGCAAATAAATTCAAGTACCTAACTAGCTCCAAAATTAGCAGGAAATTTCCTATGATGTAGCACAATAATAATTAAACATATATGAGAGGTTAGATGATAGATTGAATTCCTCTAGTATTTTATGAAAAAACATAAGTTGACTATATTTATTGAGCAACAGCACCAGCTGTAAAACAATTTCAGATACAGTGAAATTTTGGTCTAAATTGGACTCACCTGTGGTGAATCCAATTTAGACCAAAACCCCACACAGCTGACCCACAAATAATGAGAACAGGTAACTGCTGTAATGCTTCAGCACCTAAACCCTATGATGAGAAGCATGAAAACAAGCTTGCTTTTACAACCTTTTCCTACTCCAGAAACAGAGAATTTCCCAGGACAATTATTAATTGTGATAGATATGTCTTGGAAGCGAATGAACTGCTATTACTTTTTACATAAACATGTGTTGCAAATTTCAGTTGTAAAGATGACAAATTAGCTATACTGAAATCATGCATTTCCACAAAAGCTCCTGCTCTACATTTGTGTTTGTACAGAGCTGAGTTGCTCCCTTATGGATGTAAGCGTACATAAAATTGAAAAATTATGAGTTAAACTGGGACTCTTAAACATCTTCCTGATGTGCTCTAAGGCAGTTGATTTTGGTGCAAGTTTTAACTGCATTTCTATTAATCTACTGCAGCCATTAGAGTTTTATTCCATTAATTTACAGTAAATGATGTTGGCTTGATCACTGGTTAAAAATATTTTTGAAAAGCAGAAGCTATGCTGCAGTACTCACTCTTCCAGCAATAATATAAATAGTTATCCCAATTCTGTGTATGGGGCAAAAGATAACTAGTCAATACTCAAGACCAGACTACTTAAGAACCTTGAAAATTAAATTACATTGCAGCTCAATGTAATTTAAAACATCAGAGAAATCAGAGGTGCTCACAGATTTTAATTAATTTCTATAGTCAGACCTTGCCTTTTCGTCACCCTGCTGCTACTATTCCTTTAACGTTTATACACTGCATTGCATAAAACCATAGAAACAACTAAACTTATTTAATCTTATTTACAGTAGAATAGTTTTTAAATAAACGAGGACAATGTTTCCCATTTTAAATAAAGAACTGATTTAGACAATGGCATTTCAGAAACTCAAGCGCACTCATGGCACAATTTCATTGACAAGTTGCCATAGAAATAGCCAGCTCAAATGCATGCTACATCTCAGTCGCGGAACAAAAAGTAGTTCAATATTCTTCAACCAGTTTCAAGGGTAGACATGAAGCCCATGGACAAAGCAGCAGGAAAAAGTCACAAAAAAGGCTTTGCAGGGAAGCTGCTGGAGTCAGGAGCCTGCAGCACTGAGGGAAGGCACAGCTGTGGGGTCACGGGGCACCCCCAAAGCCTCTCTGCCCCAGAGCAGCCTCCTGGTGCTCGCAGGGCCCTGCAGGGAGCAGCTGCAGTGGCGGGGTCAAGGGCACTGCCAGGAGCTGAAGCAAAGTGAAAATTTTCCAGGATAGAAATCCATTTTAATTTAGGTGAAATGTACATTTTTGAGTTGAGTCTGTGGTTAGAAACCATAGTTATTTAGCCAGACTGCAAGGCCTAAGCTCAGTGAAGTTACTTCAGCGAAGGACAGAGATAGAGGGGGGGAGACAGAAGATGATAGAGAGAGACAGGGACTGCTGTAAGGGCAAGTCAACCTGACCTTGGAATTTTTTCTGATAAAAAGGAACTAGTAGTAAAAGTCACACAAAACCCATAAAAATGAATATGTATGCACCTATTGTGAAACTGTATGCATATGTATTTAAGAGAGAGATAAAAAGAGACCTGAAGTTCTCAGAGGTACTCATGCCTATTTTGAAGAGAGCAATCTCCGCATGCATCCAGCGCTGTAATAAACATACCGGCTTTACAACTTTGACAAAGTTGTGAAGTTTTCTTCTTTTCTCCACAAAACAGAGCGGAGATGGCTCCCATACCTGCCAAGGGCTGCCAGGCACCTCAGCAGGCAAGTGCATGGCTACTGAGGCATGGGAGGGATGGTGCATGTGGCCAAACACACCAGGAAAATTAAAAACAAACCAAACAACCCCACCCAGCGGGTGCAAAGCACCCAAAGGTTTCTGCAGAGCTGGGCTGGGCTGGACAGAGGAGCAAACAAACCCTCACAAAGCCCAACAACCTCCAGACTAATATAGCTCCCTTAAACACAGCCAAGATATTCCCTGATGAAAAAGTACAGTAGGAGTCCTAGTAAAATATATGTATTGTATAAGTGGCCTTGCCCCAATCCTAGTTGTTCTAAATGGGCTGCAGCTGTGATGTCCTTAACTGGGCGGTAGCTGTGGCTAATGAAGATAACTGGGATAAAAGGGGGTGGGGCTGGCTGGTTAGGGAGAGCCTTGGAGGAGCCCTGAAGAATAAGCAGGAACAACACTGCTGTGAGAAAACCAGCGAGAAGGTATGGGACTCTAGAAATATAATAACAACAATATGAATAACAACAAGTGGTGTCTCCGACGTGATAGAAGATAGGACAGCTGAGAGCTGTGGCAGCCTGTGAGCTGGGACTCTAGAAATATAACAACAACAAAAAAGCAAACTCTCCTTGTCAGCTTTCCCTTACCTTTTATCCCCATAAGCAGATGGGGCTCAAGCCAGCTGCCAGGCTGGGCCATTCTGGGGGCAAGCATAAGGGCACTGCCCACACTGAGATGGGGCAGACAAGGCAGGGTGGGCTCAGGGGCTGCTCCTCAGGGCAACTGGCCTCACTCAGGGGCACTGGGGCAGTACAGGCTCAGGGGCAGCTCCTCAAGGCAATTAACCTCAATCAGGGCCCAAGCAGGAGCTTCCATGGTTTTCTTTCCAGCCAACATCAGTTCCTCCCGCTGGAAATGTGGCAGCAGAATACCATGATTGATAGTGCTAAAGGCAGCTCCCAAAGGCTGGAGTAGCCAGTGGTAATTCATTTTCTATGACAAATTCCATATCTTGTTCTATTCTTTAATATATTCAATAATTGATTTGTTATTCAGAAGTTGTTTTTCTAGCTTGTTTCAATTCCCCAGGTGAAACAGTCATGATTGCAAACTTTGTGTCTGCATCCTGGCAATATATTGAAATATGTATTTTAACAGCTTTTCAAGAGATATTGGATAGCAAGGAAGTCTGCCACCAGAAGCCTTATGGAGATCAAATTTAGCTCACAGTCAACAAAATTACGATAAATTGAATTAGGAATTCAATATTTTTCATCATCTGCAGGCCACTTAATGCTACATATAGCCAGCAACATTAACATTAATATGCAGAAAGTGCCCAATTGCACTTCCTTAGGAAGTAACTGGATTTCTGCTACAGTGTGTTTAGCCTTTTCTACCTTGCTTGACACATTTTGAATCCTTTAAAGTGAGAAGTAATCTATTTTCCTTCCTTGGTGAGGTTTTTCTGGTTACAGCTGGTTGAATGACCATTTTTTTGCTGAGTAAAAGTTCTTAGGTTTTCAGTTTCTGACTACAGCAGCATATGCAATTAGGAGGTATTGTGTGCCACACCTTAATCAACCTCTCATTAATATTCTTATCACCATAATTTTACCAAAAAAATAATTCTTTTCATGTGAAATAATCCAAAGGGGAAAAAAACAGTCTCAAGACTGTGTTACAGTGCTCTCTTCACCCGGCATGTTAAGAGGAAAGCATTACTAACTGTTGTAGTAACAAAAATCTTTGTTACTAGCATTATTTACAGTTTTGAGCAGGATGCATCACCACTCAGAACTTATAACCACCTTTGAAACCTTTGATAATTTCTATTTTCATTCTGGATTACTTCTGTCATGAAGAAGATGACACTGAATAGACTTTTCCCCCTTCACAAACTCTTTTATTTCTTTTGGGCTATAGAAAGAGGAGTTCCCACCCCTGTTTCTGTGTCTCCATAGCAATCCTTCTGCATTAGAAAGAGCAGGCAGACAGTTAGTGTTTAGGTTTGTTTTGGTTTGGTTTTTTTTGTAAGTGCAGCAGGAGGTAAAGGGTTATATGATGTTTAAACACGAGAAAGGCATTTGTTTACTCACAGCAACATTTTGTGGATTTGGAGAAAAGGAAGGAAAACCCCTGAATCCTCATGAGTAGTTATAGAAGTGGCATGTTGCCCTCATGTTTCAAAGGAATCTAATTTCCTTTTGTGGTCCTGAAATATATCAGCTGACAATTCTTGCTGTTATGGACTTTACTTTAGACCCATGCCTTTATTTAAGCAGTGAATAAGCCAGACACCTGAGTACTAGAAAATCATATGCCAGTACTGATTTTCTTACTGGTGTCCGGTTTTCGGCTGTTTGAAGGGCCTGGAAAGGCCCGGAGTGGCCTTGGGGCAGCCCGCGTATCAAAGGACGAGAAGAGGCTTCAGTTCTTCTTTTGGTCTCTGTGTTTATTAATTGTTTATCTAAAAGATTTTCTTTTGGTCCGACAGAGCTCTGCTCAGCAGCCAGCCATGAGCACACTGTCTCGCCCTCCGGACAGTCACCTATCTTTATACCCAAAGTTACGTGTACAATATTTATCATTTTTCCCCAATACCTTTTACCCTTATTGCCCGGTGCACTTTCAGTAATGACCAATCCCAAAGTGCCACCATCACCACAGAAGATGGAGGAGAAGAAGAAGAAGAAGAAGGACAGGACACGCCCCAATTCCTCCATCTTACTTCTCTAAACCCCCCTGTACAGAAATCCTAAACCCTGTGTCTCACCCTCTAATTAACTAATCCCTTCACCATTCACCCCGGTGAAATCCTCCTATCCTCATACAGGTGTCGTCTCCTGTGTAGGGTCAAAGTCCAGCCACCAGACACTTCTGGCAACATTCCAGGACTCCCGAGCCCCCCAAGGGTGGTCTCGGTGACTCGGCACCTTGGTGCTGAGATCCCACATACTGGTAATAAGTTACTACCAGTAGCAGCAGTAGCAATGCTGTGAAAGCTGCTTTCATAATGGTATTTCATCTGCGGACATTTTGCAATGAAAAATACAGAAACTACAGTCATACATTTACCTGCCTAAAAAGAAGACAAATTAGGCTTAATTAGACTAAATTTCTCTAGTATAGCTTCAGTTCTAAGAATACTACACTGGCACTTTGGCTCAGAAGTTCCTCTGCCAGGTGCAAAACACAAAAGCCGTAATTTGAACAAAAGCAAGGAAAAATGTGAACAAACTGTGGATTAAAGGAATGAGCTGTGGGGAAGACAAGCAGAACATCAGTGGTATTAGTGTGAGGCAAACACAGAGGATCAAAAAATAGGGAAACATGAGAAGATGGAAAAAAGACAATTGCTTTTGATACAGAATACAGTCAGAGTACATTGCTGAATATGACCAAAAAAAAGTTGAAAGAAAACCACCCAACCATTATTTAATAATATTATGGCTTAATGCTTGTTTAGTTTTCATTGAAATTTTCTTATCTGACACTAACGTTAAATGCCAGACCCTGGAAGTTTTCTGGCAGAAGCTGATGACAGGGTCTGATTTGGAATTGTGCTGCCAGTGTGCCATAAAGGGCCTCACCTAACATGACAATTATACCCAACTCAAATGTTAGATGCTGGATTTGAGCTTGGACTGAAAAGAAACACATAGATAGTAAAAGTGGAATTGCATAATTAGGATGTGTATATATCCTTAATTACAGCATGAAGTGGCACAGTGGAGAGGAGGATTAAATTATCATCCAAGACAGATCTGTTTCTTTTTCTCTAGTGTGCAAACACAAATACTGAGAAGCCTTAATTAGAGCCATATGGCCAGTGCATGGAGCCACTGCAGGGTATTGTTAATGCAGTTTGAGTGCCCAAGCTATGCTCATTCACAGGTTCTTGAATTACTCTGAATAGTTAGAGATAATAGCAATCAACTTTGGAAATACTGGTTGCAAAGACCATTGGTTTTTCAATAATGGTAATGCTCCTGTGCTGTGTCTAACCACAGAATTCTAAGCACACCAATTTCACATCACAGAAACATGCATCCAGAGTGGCTCTGGTCTGGTTACCTTCACAAGAACATGCTAATTTGGAAAGAAGCCCAGAAAGCCCCTTCAGGTTTAGGTTAAATTACTGATCCAGGCATGTGTTATGTGCCATAGTACCATTTGGAGATAGTGCATAGGGGCACTCAGCATCTTATAAAATTAATCTGATATATTTTAGAAGAGTCACAGGTCAACAAATAATGAAGTAAGCAGCACAAAATTTCCCCAAACAAATTAGGAAACTGGTGGAATGGTTCAGTAGAGAGCTAATGCATGTAAACACTGATTTCAGGTGCAAAGACAGATGAAAATAGTTTAGTGCTAGCAGAACTCCATTTCTAGATGATATTGTAGTGAAAAAAATCTTAAAATATAAAATACTTCAAATGTGCTGAATGTTGCTTTGACTGTGTATTACCTCATCACTTGATGCTCCAGAAGACAGATGTTTCTTTTACTGGTGGGTAATGAAGAATAAAGGCAAACTTAACAAGATACTCAACTGAAAGTAGGAAAAGTCCTGCGTTATAAGGCAATACTTTAATAAATGGCGGAAAAGCGGCTAACATGCAAATAAAACCAGTCAGTAAATTACCTGTTGACCATAAACCTATTGGTCATCTTTCCTTTTTCAGCCTTTCTCTGCCTCCATATCCATTAGTGGAACCTTGGGATACCAACACTTCCCACTGAAACCACCTGAAGGGATGAGGAATGGTCATTCCCAGCAGCCCAGGAGCTGCCCTGGCTGTGCCAATCAGGCTCTGTCAGAAGTCCTCCCGTGTACTCAACAGTAAGTGTAAGAGTATTTTTACAGTCTATTAAAAAAAAAAAAAAAAAAAAAAAAAAAAAAAAAAAAAAAAAAAAAAAAAAAGGACGGAAGAAAAGAATAAAAAGGGCAATCACTTATCACAAAAAAAACCCAAAAAAAAACCCAACCCCAAAAAAACCAAACAAACCCCTAAACCAAAAACACCCCAAAAACAAAACCAGGAAACACTTTCTTTACAAAATGAAAATATATTAAAAGATTTATAAGGCCAAAGTGGTATCACAAGTGAAGAATGATGTAAAGAGGTTCCTTATTTGATCATATAGGGTATTAAAATATAGGGATGACACTGCAGATACCAGAATATTTTGTTTTCCATTACCTTTCATTCAGATTTGAAATTACGGAAGATTAAAAAACCTTCAGGAGCAGTATCTTCTTTCCATGTTTACTGCAAGGCACCACAATAAATCAAACGCACGCTGCACCTTCAGATCCTCATTATTATCAAGATTTGTCTGTTATTTCTATCACTGCCCTTCTTTTTATTTCCCTTGTGTGTTTCAGATCTATCTCCCATTAACTAGAGACAGTAAAAAGCTGAGAAGGGAGACAGCAGAAATAATGAAAAGAATTGTTTTCTGCTCTGTGGCTGTATAGACTGTGGTGGACTGACCCTGCTCATATGCTTGCTGTTCCTGTAGCTGCTGTCCAAACTCACTAGGCAGGATATTAAGGAACTCCTTGCTTCTGCTTTAAAAAAATTTAAAGTTAAGAAAAAAAATCAAAGAAACTGAAATCTCACCAAAAGCTCCTGCTCAGTGAAATATTCTGGTTTGCACTATTTTCTTATGAATAAATTTAATAAACCAAACAATCTTGTTAGCACACTTTGATGTACTCTGGAACTGTGCATATGGGGTCATTATGACATTGATAAAGTGAATAGTATATGAAGAAATACAGTGTTTCTGAAACCTGCTCCAAAACTGAGATATATTTGTAACAAGGATTCCTGATTTAATTCTCCAGTAATTCTATATGCATGAAGTAAACAAGGTTTCCCTTCCAAAGAATTTCTCCCTATATTATTTTTTTAATATTATTTCTTCTATATATGCAATGTAAGTATCTAGAAACAGCATTAGCTTAAAAATCAGTTTGAAAACTATGTTAAATTTGTTTCACAAGTTTTCAAATATTTTAAGCTTGCATTTCTTGACACCACTTATACTGTAATTAACAAAAAAACCAGCCTTGCTAAAAAGTTCTTATTAGTATAGATACTTGAGTGTTGTATTCATATTTTTATATATCATATTTCTGCAATACATATATTACTCAGGCCCCTATATTTCCCCCTTTTCTTTTAACACATTTTTCAATTACACAGCTACAATACACATATCTGTCCCATCTCTCAGGCTGCCACAGCTCTCAGCTGTCTTGAATACATTGAATACATACATATCTCTAGATCCTTCTGTCCCAGCTCTCAGGCTGCCACAGCTCTTGGCTGTCCTATCTTCTATCACGTCGGGGTCACCAATTGTTGTATTCATATTGTTGTTATCATATTTCTGCAAGACATATATTTACTCAGGCCCCTATACTTGAGAACATTTTCTCTTATAATAACATATGGCAAACAAAGAGCAGAAGACATGGCCTGGATGCCCACAAAGTCAGCACTTTTTGAAGGCCCTTACTCATTACTTAAAAAGGCCCCCCAAGAATTGTGTCACAGGAGGACAGTGGGAATTGTTTGCTTACACAGTTCTAGGGGGATTTTATTATTTATTACCTGCAGTCCTGGCACCAGGAGGGAACGTTTGGTAAAAGTGCTCCCGTGCAAGCAGTGAACTCTCCACCGTGCTGTGCAGGACGCCCCTGGCAGCAGCATCTTCTCCTCTCTGAGTTAAAACCCAGCTGAATAAATCTGATGACAGCTAAGTCACCCAAAGCCCTGCTGGATGCTCAAACAAAACATCCTGTCTGTTTTCTACTAAAGTTGCTCTGGTAAGTTATAAGTAATTTTCAAAGGATGATTTCTTCTAAACATTGAAGATATTTAAAGGATTGTAATTTGAAAACCATAATAAGCTATAAAAGTAGTATTTCAGTCCCAATAATTGTAATTCAATATGCAGGAAAAGGGCTTCACTGGGAGTGTCACTGAACTATAATCTCCATTGGAAGACCAAATATCCAATAATAAACATCACTAAGACTCAACTAACAGGCAGAAAGAGACTAAACATTGGACTGCTTTGAAAGATGTGTTAGAAGTATTGCTGAGACAATTTAACCATCAACAAAACCTTGCTACATGCAGGTCTAACTAAATTATCTCTCTCAATTGTCACAGCATAGTAAATGCTATTGAAAAAAATAATGTAAATGTGCACTCAATAGAAGTTTGTAATACTTACAAAATAAATTTATATCAATTTTTTTTTATATCAATGTGTCTTTAAATCAATTTAAAAATTTATAGAAACATTTTTCCTGCTAGCATATAACTGGCCTCAGAAAAAATGTGCCATCTTCCCTTGAGAATGTCTCTTCGACAGTCTAGCAATAAGTTAAACAGTATTGCATAGGAAGTTTTTCAGGGAAAAACCCTCATAAGAACAAAATAATAAAATCCCCCTAGAACTGTGTAAGCTTATTAGAAAAATGAAATCAGCTGCAGCTATCATCACACACAGAGAATCACAGGGAGGTTTCCATGAAAGTACAGCAATGATGGGGTTCTGAGCAGCCTGATCTCTTGGATGGTGTCGCTGGTTATGGCGGGGAGTTGGAATGAGGTAAGCTTTAGGACCCCATCCAACCCAATCCCATTCTGGGACTCTGTGATAGAGTATTTTACCTATAATCTGCTTCTGGATCAAAGAAGTATAAACCCTCTCACCCTCCAACACTGCAAAGCAGGAGCTGGCATGGAGCATGCTCTGGGAAGCTGCCTTTGGACATTCCGAGAGCACATGCTGGATCCCAAACTGAGCACAGCTGCAGCTTTGGTGACACTTTGGGATGTAAATGTTCTTTCCACAAGCCACTGCTCCAACACCTCTGTGTCTGCCATCTAAATTGGAGGGACATGCCACACACCCCAGGAAACAGAAGCACTGGAACTGTGGTGTGCAGCAGGAAGAACACACAAGCACAGCCCAACACCCTGCAATGGCTTGCCTAGGCACAGCCAGCCCAGCTGGAGGCTCATCCCTGGATAAAATAACTACAGTGCTGGCAGGGTGAAATGGGAAGCTGCATAATTAATATGGCAGAAAAATAAAATACCATGCAGTGTGTTTGATGTCTTTTAGAAAACAAAACTACTGCAAAACCAAACCATTGCTCTTGTGCCTCTCCTGAGAGTGTGCCCTCTTGTTCTGAATTATGCAGTTCTCCATATGACAAAGCCTTCTAATTTGTCAAGTTAACATAAAAACATATAAATTACATATGCCCTGGGGTGACTTCATGATGCTTGTATCCCCATTTGCCTGTTTAGCCCAGAAATAAGTTTTGCACCTTCAAGACTGGTTCTGTGAGCAAAGGTGAGGGGGGACAAGAAGCACACATTTTGTTTTCAGAAACTGTGCTTGCTCCCCTGCATGCTTCTCCTGGACAGTGCTGTCTGCAGCATGGACAGACAGAAGGACAGAGCTTTCCTCTGCTTTTAGTTAGTTTTTTGCTAGCTGAGGCAGCGAAGTTCCCTGGACTGTGGGTTTTCTTTTTCTTGGAACTGTTTGAACCTGCTCTGGACTGAACAACCAGCAGAGCACTGGCAGCTCCACCTGTGGCCCACCAGGCTGGGCCTGGTCTGCAGCATTTCCAGCACTGGAGGGACTGATAAGAGACTGATAAGGGACTGAGTGAGCCGAGCTACAGCCCACGGAGGGACTTTCTGAGTGTGTCATCTCTTGGGAGTGGCAGGAGGTTTTATTGTTTAATATTGTTCATTTTTTTGTGCTAATGAATGCCTTGCCTCGTAAATAAACAGGTTTTCCCACTTTCCTCCAAGGAAATCTTTTCCCATACCAGTTCAGGGAGGGGCCGCTTGAATCTGCTTTCTAGAGGAGCCCCTTTGGAAATTTTCTCCCACATTTGCCCTAATCCAGGACAACATATTAAAAGTGTACAAACCCAGTACCACACTTCAAAGTGTGATGTTGCCTTCCAGTAGAAGTTCTAGACATTGGCCCTCCTCACTGTTAGGGCAGACTGCATGACAGAAATCTCCTCTTGATCACATCATCTTTTTTCCACTAAAAGAAAATAATTATCAGTAGCACTAGTGTTAAGAATTGCCAAAGTGGGGATAGGCCCTGATATTTTAAAACCTTGGATGCCTTTGTTAATTGAACAGGAACATTTCTCTTTTGCCACACTGTTGTGTTCTCCCCACTGCACACAGCTCATAGCTTTCACCAAATTGAGTGACCCCACCTCACAGTAAAATATTACCTCAATAGACTCAATAAAATATGCACGTACCCAAAACTGAGAATATCAGCCAGAAACTGGCTGTCAAAATTACTCCCTCCCTCTGGCAGCAGGATGTTTTCTGGTATTTATGAATTTTCAGGTGGTTCCATTCAGTGACACTGGTTATCTTAATTTAACCTCTGCTCTTGTTAATTTATTCTCACTTCCTTTTTGCTCTCTTAATTGCAGGTCTTAGGTTACCCATATCTAAAAACAAAGAGAAAAACAATAACAAGACCAAAAAATTAAACAAGGCATTGGCAATGCTTCTGTGTACTTACCCTAAATCCTCCTTCTTTGGAGGGATAAAACATCCTTGTTCAGTAGCTGGCATCCATGTTAATTGTATTTTTTAAAACCTAATTTCAAGATACACAGAAATTAGTTATTCTCTCTCTGTATTACAGATGGAAAGGATCCAAGCCCTGGGCCATTCCAGAGATTAAAGCTGATCTACTACACTCTGCCAGGCTGTCAGCATTTAAAGTCAGCAAGTACAAGGCCTGGAAGCAGCAACACTTCAGATTTCAAACTTTTATAATCTTTTTTAGTTCTAACTAGTTCCATTTAATTAGTGTGTAGTTTCCAACCAAAATCTTTTAGGAGATTTATTTATTCAGACTGCTACATTTTTTTATTTTGGAAATACAGAACTATTAATATTTGAATGCCTAACTCATGTCTACTTTCACTAGACTTATGGATTTTCTCTAATGGAACTTTTGACACAAATGGTTTAGTTTAGGGTTGTTTAGCGTCTGCAGGAATTTTTACATCAATTAGTCTGTCTTAGTAACATCTAAGTTCCAATTTCTTGATAATTTATATTATTTATATTGTTAGAACAATAAATATATAAAAATAAAAAAATAAAACCAACTTTATATCATTTAGGTACTTCAGACCAGGATTATTTTTCAATTCTTCTCCATGAAAGAAAGTAAAAAATAGTAAATATCTCCCCTTTTACAAGGACATGGATGGGATTTACAAACACATATTGCTTACATATTGCTTTACCTCATGGTCTCAATGAACAGGCTGGGGGAAGTGAAACTGTACATTTACCATCAGCACTCTGTGGCACAGAACAATACGCAAATACATATTGTCACAGGCTGTCTTTCTGAATGAACACCTTGGGTCTGACACTCAAAGGCCACACAGAGCCTCTGTCACAAATGAGAGAACAGAATGGAAATGGCTTTTTCATTTATTTTCCCAGTTCCAGGACTCTCTTCATTATATTCTCTCGGAAGTTTGGCAGCAGAAATTTTTAGCTTTGTTCAGAGTTTGAAACTGGGAGTGGAGAGGGCAGAGGAAGAAACACCAAGTCACTTTGTGGTCCAGCAAATGAATTCCTAACAGAATGCCATACTTGAGAGATGAAACAACTGGGCCATGGCAGGAGAATGATGTCCCAATCAGACTCAGCCTGGACGTTGCTGCTCAAGTCTGAGACAAGGAGTGATAGTGACCATTCTGATTGTTATGTTGGCTCCGGTTCAAAAAAGAAAACTTGGAGCTATTTTAGAGTTTGAATAGCATCTGTTTCAAACAGCCAAGCACAAACATTTGTTTGTCATCATTCATGAAGATACTGTGGGGAATCTTCCACTCCTCTCTTCTTAATAAACAAGTCTCTGGGTGATAAAAAACTTACCAGGCAGCATGTACAGCCCTGAGAACAGCATAGAACAAAGACTGATTCAAACACTTTAAAAACTTTAAAGAGCTGGCTTTTCTCTTTCTCTTGTGATAAGACAGGAACATTTTTATGAACCTTGGAATGAGGGAACAAGCACAAATGACACAGTCCTTTCTTCAGGCTCTTTGCTGCTTTCTGTTATGAGCATTTTTGGTCAACTGGTGAAATTAAGACCTGCTGTAAAGAACATAGGGGGCATTGGCGTGCTTGATAATCTCAAGTAGAAGGATACACTTCTTCCAGTTCAGAGGTGAACTCGGTCCCATCCTATGTACCCACCAAATTCCTAAATAAAATTTGTGCTGCTTCAAAGTCTAAGCATTGCCCTGTAACAATACTTGGATTAGAACAAAGGCAGGAGAAAAGAAACTGGTTTTAGCAGTTGCTACGAGCATGTTCATGAGACCAGTGCGGAATTAGGTTGTGCCATTGTTCCAATCTGGCACTTCATTAACAGAGAATGTTACCTGTTTTTCTGTTGGAAAGCTCAAAAAGCCTTCATGTCTGAAAAAATAACTTTATCATTCTACCTGGTTCATTTGTGCTCTCGCTCAGCTGTGCTCTTTGGCAGCTCAGTATCAGCAACCTCAGGGGTACCTGTGTGCACTCCTCCTTTACAATTTTTGTATGCCTGCTAATTCTTCCATTCAAATATTCTTTTGCAAGAGAAATACCACTTCCAGACAAGTGAAAAATTTGGATTTGTACCTCCATGCATTGGCAGATGAGGGCTGGCCCCTTCTGAATGGCCAGCTCAGCAACCCACCTGCAGCGACTGTGGTGTGTCCTCTCTCCAAGAGTCCTTAATATTTCATCAGGGTTTCACATTTCACACAGAATTCAGACTGCAAGAGCTGTCCAAAGGAAACAAACACTCACAACTTATGTTTTCAGGGCACTTTAAATCCCTCTGGTAACTTTGAAAATCTTGGCCTTCGTAGTTACTGTTTCTCTGTACTTAGGAAAACTGAGAGAAGAAATCTTGCTCTGAGTAAAAATCAGCACAAGTTTTGCTGCTAATTTCAATGGCACCAACAATTCACTCAGACCCTGGCTGACTTGGACCACAGGTTTGTAATCATGGGACAGCATTTTCTACAGACACAGAAACCACTCAAAGCCGTAATGCCCTGCCACGGGGCTGTTCTTTGAGTTCTGCTCATTGAGACAGCTACACTTTTCTGAGTGCCTATGCCATGCTCAAGTCCATTTTTACCTGCTTTCAGGATCTGAATTGAATATCCCACAGACACCATTATTTAAGCCCAGATTACTCTGTTCTTAGTGTTGCTGTTCTGAAACTCCTTTGCAGGTTATTGCCCCCCATGCAGTCTATGGCACTCATACACAGTGTTCCAGACCCCACCCAAAGTTTGATGCCTTCTTCCATAAATACCAAAATGCACCCACATTTGCATACCTTTGCATATGTATCTTCATGCATATACTTTTAAAAGAAATAAAATACAGAAAACACTGCAAATCTTGATTTTCCTGCTTCTTAAAAATATCATCAATTGCAAACACTCTTACTGTATCTTGGAACTGGTCAATTTACTTACTATTTGTTAATAAAAAGTATTAACAAGAGACTGGCATGGGTTTGAA